GGGGGGTTAGCCTGTCTCCAGCCAGCGGCTTCCTGAGCTGCTTCGACACCGTGAGCCAACGTGAGCTCTGCTCAGGCCTTCAGCCTCTGGGAACCATTTCCAGACCCCGTGCCAGCCGAGAAGCCGAGTCTCAGTTCCCACGGCCAGAAGCTCTTAGTACCCAGTTGGGAAAGCTGCCCTCCCGGGTGACGAGTTCCCCAGTGAAACCTGAGAGCTTCTCGGGGTTCATTGCAGCAGCGTGTTTGGGGCTTGCGTCTTCGCTCAGTGACGTGGGGCTGGTGTCCTCCATGGGGGATTTCTCAGCCTCCCCGGGCTCTAACCCTGACTCTGAGACGCACCAGGAGGCCTCACTATGTTAGGAAGAAGGGGCTTGAGCATTATTCCCTCTGAGCAGAACTGTTTCCACATTCATCCAGAGAGGGATCTGGGGGCTTCTCAGGTGACCCGGGACAGAGTCGGAAGGTGCCAGAGCTTTGGCGTCCACGTCGTCAAGCTCCCACTGTGTTCATGGAAGGCCGAGGTTCACAGGACGGATGTCTTGATGAGAGTCACCCACAAGTTAGGGCGGAAGGGGGCCCCTACCCAGACTGTCCCCTCACCCTGCCGCTTCCAGCCATGACATCGGTCTTATATCTTCGCCAAGAGGTGTCAGCCCACATGCCGTGACAGTTCGAGGCTCTCTGAGAGCTGACGGCAAACTACCTGTGGTTCTTCTGAGCAGACAGAGGCCTGAGAGCAGTGTGTGGGCTTCCCGCCGAGGACCATGGCTGTTCCTGGCCCTGGCGTCCTCTCCTTTCTCCTGCAAAGAGCCTGAAACCGAGCACCTCGCTTTTGGAGGCCTGGGAAGGCGCCCTCCCTGGACACTGCCATGCGTGACCTCGGCGCTCCAGCTGACGCGACTAGAATGGGCCCCGTTGTTCTCTGCAGACCGGGCCTGGGTCAGGCGGGATGTCTGTTAAGAGGACACCCCAGCCATTGATTCCGAGAGTTTCGCTCCCTCCCTGCCTCCCAGCACACCTGTGTGGGCGGCGCCAGGCAGGGGCCCACTGCTCCCTCCATTCAGACCTCCTGTCCTGCCCAGCTCACTGGCTTGCACGAGAGCTTCCCTTTGAAGAGAAAGGGCAGGGACGATCGCTCTGTCACAGAACTGGTTGGAAGGGAGCAGCCGGCGTCAAGTGAGATAGGTTCCGGCCCTTTCCGCAGCAGGGTGGGATGTCTGCTTCTGGGCACCACCGTGGTCATATTCAGGAGAGGAGTGGGGGAGACCGGCGGTACGAGGCTGGGGCTGTTTGGCCGCTTTCAGAGCCCGGCCTGACCTCTGTGTGCCACATAGCACTTTGGACACAGATTTTTCTCCAAGTGGCCTTCTAATCTGAAAGGATATTCTTGAATCTTTTTTTTTAAAAGAGATTTTTGTTACAGGGTGTGTGCGCTCACAGGAGAGACTGGGAGAGACAGAAAGCAAGAAACTCCCCACCTCCGGGGATGGCCATGCCACAGTCCCTTCTCCTTCAGTCTCCTCTTGGGACCTTGGGCACGCATGAACATGCACCCGGCACGAGTTTTAAGTTGCCGAGTCTGGAACTCAAACTGCAGTTGATCACATGGGAATTCAGTGACGAACTGCAGTTGATCACGTGGGAATCCAGTGATGTAACCATTTTACCATCTGGGGGTCCTAATCTTGCAACATTTAAGAGCAAGTTTTTGTCTTAAGGTTTGTCTAGGTAGATTCCCATATATACATTCTGTATGAATAAAACAGGGGGAATAACAATGGTTTTAATCAAATAGAGGTTTAATAAAATAGGAATTTAATGCTCTCTCAGACAAAATAAATCTATCTTTTAGGGCTGTTTCAGTTCTACACAGGCTCAGGACCTAGGTTCTTTCTATTTGTTTTGCCATCTTCAGTTCATGGCTTCCAGTACATGGCCCAAAATAGCTGCTGCAGAAGCAGCCATCATGTATCCATCCCAGCCTTCCCTGAAGGGCATTCCCTAGAATTCACACACTAGATTCCTACTATATTGGCCAGAACTTAATTCTCTCACTGTTGCTAATCACCAGGGAAACTGAGGCATGAAGTCTTAATTTTAGGTGACCATGTACCCAGATAAAAATCGGGTTCTGAAAGGTTTGGAAATGGCTATCAGGGGACAGTGTGCTCTCTGCCCCACCTCACTCTTGGATAAATAATATGAAGTGGGTTTATAACATGCAGTTATCTACGACAGGGTCTTCAAAAAGTTCATGGGGAAAATGTATTGTGAAAAACTGCATGGTTTTCAAACTTCTTTGCACCAAAGTAAAGTCACCTTTAATTCCATTTCTCTATGAATTTTTGAGGTCCCCTCATATATTTAAGTTTTTTATTTTATTATAAAACATTGATTTTATCAGCCCAGACGGAAAGAACAAATCAGCCAGCGCATGGCTCAGCCAGTGGCATGGTGGTTAGGGCGGCTGGATCTCACATGGCCAACCATGCAGGTCAAGTCCTAAACCCAGCAGTTTGATAAATGCACCAGACATGCGTGCATGCATGCCCCAAATCCAGAGAGGACAGAGAAGTGGAGGAGAGGGATTGCTTTGGGACTGTCCACCGTGGGGGGTGTTTTTTCACTTTCCCTGGGGAGCACGTGCACCCTCTGGCAACAGTTTTGAAGGAAAATAAAACAAAAGAATAGAAAAGCAATGAGCCAGTCCACATCCTCATTTGAAAGGTTAGGACACTGAGGTCCAGAAAGTTGAAATGGACCAGCAAGATCACACAGCAAGTTGGTGGCATCCGATTCCCAGCTCACGATCGATGGGAGTAATTTTATTCTTTTCTCTTTCTTCCCTCAAGATAAAAGCTTCATTCTGGAGGGAAGGGAGCTTGAGCACTAGGGGTGAAAGTCCACCCATCACCCAGTCTCTAAGTTGCAGGACGGTGGCAGGGTGTGCGTGCTTGTGGGTGACTGTCCTCAGCCGCTGGTGAGGACTCTGCCCTGGGCTGACTGGAGTGCATCTTGTTGTTCCATCCGGGCCCCTGCCTCTGTGTGTATCTGTGTGTCTGTCTGCTTGCTTGCCTGCCTGCCTGCCCGTTTGTCTCCGTGTCTGCTCTCCAGCTGGTTCTAGCTGCCAAGGTTGGGCGTCTGACTCTGGTCTGCTTCTGTTTCAGAAAGCGTCTGCCAGGATGGGAGCTGCTGGGAGGCAAGGCTTCTCCTTCCAGGCCTTGGTGACAATCAGCTGGTTCGCCCTGGCATGTGTCCCTGGGACCACATCCACTGCAGGTGAGCCACCGCGAAGCACGTGAGTTCCGCATCCCTGTGTGCAGAGCACAGCCCCTCACTGAGCCAGGCCGTGGGAACCGGGTGGGGTGGCAGTCGGTGCCGTGGGGGCCGAGTCAGGGCGCTGGGCTCCAGCCTGCCCTGACTGCACTTCTTGACCTCAGGCAAGTCTTGTCCTGAGCTTTGGTTTCATCCTCCCACAAAATGAAGGGGTTGGACTAGAACCACGGGTTGCAAACTCTGTGTGTGCAGGAGCCAGGCACCTTGCATGAATGAGTGAAACTGACCGGGTCAGGACCGCGGTCACCTGCGGAGCTGAGGCTCCTCTGAAAGGACACCCACTTCTCAGGTCTGTCCAGTTGTTGCCAGGTAGGCAGGTGTGGGTCCCTGTTTCTCTGTCGTAGGATCTTGTGAATTTTTAAGAAAAGCCAGAAATCTAGATTTTATGTAAATTCTTCTCTAGTTGTTTTTTATTTTATTTTTTTAAAGAATTATTTATTTAATAATATTGTTGTTGTTGTTTAACTTTCCATAATCACCACAGACAGAGGGAAAATGAGAAAGCAAGCCACCAGGTCTGGGACTCAAACTGCAGTTGGTTATGTGGGAGTCCAGCACCTTAACCACCACACCACCTGCTGGCCACAACACTCCCATTGCCAACAACCAATTTGGATTTAAAAAACTACTCTGAGAGGGCCAGAAAAAAGATAACTAACACACGGGAGCTAGCTTCCTCTCTCTGGCCGGGCTGCCCGACCTCGGAGTTCCCATCCTGCTTCGGCGTCAGAATCCGGGTACACCAAAGCACTTTACAGCTGCGATGCTTGAAACAAGGTGTCCATCTGTTTTCCTATCTCGATATCACCCACTTTGTAAAAAATTTTCATTTTTTTTTTTCTTTGCCAGTGGGCACTTGTTCTCACCAGCGAGAGACAGGAAGACAGAGAAAGAGGGAGAGGGAGAAAGCCCCCCCTAATAAGGCATGGTCGTACTGCAGTCCTTCCTCCTCTGTTTTCTGTCCTTGGGGGATTTGGGACACACACACACACACACACACACACACAAACGCACGCACGCACACTCATATTATTTATTTATTATTATTACGGTTTTTAAATTTGCTTTAGGGCACATGCCCTTACCAGAGAGAGACAGAGAGAGAGAATGAGAAAGCAACCTCCAAGTGTGGGATTTGAACTGCCATCAGCCATGTGGGAGCCCAGCACCTCAACTTACCACACCACCTGCTGGCCTCTGATGCTGCTTTGTTTTGTTAAATCCCGTTATTATTTACTGAGTGTGATTCTTTCCCCCAGTGAGAACAAAGAAGAGGCTGGCCCTGTAGCGCCTAGTTAAGCACTACACAGAGGGACCTGGAACCCACATAACCAACGACGGTTCGAATCCTGGCCTGGTAGCTTGAAAAACATGCCAGCCTCCTGTGTGCAGGCCGGGGGTATGGACAGGAGGGAGAAATGGAGGAAAAAGGATTGTGGCAAAACCATCCCTACTGGGGAGTGCATGCACATTTGCACACTCTCTCTCTCTCTCTGACACACACACACACATGTGCACACACCTTCTAGCCCGAGACAGAGGGAGAGAGAGGGGGAGAGAGAATAAATGCCCCTGTTTTTCCAGCCTGCTGAGGGACGCAGCCTCTGTAAACATAAGTAGCAGATTTCCTTCACGGTGGTTTCCTGTAGAATATTTCTAATTTTGGGGGGACATAGGAAGCAATCCGCATTTCAATTTTTGATGCAGTACTTGACAGTATTGCTTGGATCCATCCATGTATCCTTGGGTTGTTTATGCAGTTACTATATCCAGAGAGGACATTGACCCAGAGCTGGGAGTTGGGGATGGGTTTCTCTTCTGGGCCGTCCCCCTTGGGGAGGGATGCCGGGTCCTGCCTGGGTGTTCCCTCCTCTGTCCCTGGATCTTGCTTGCTTTGTACATGAGCCATTTGGAAAGGAAGCTGTGCTCTGGCTCTCTCTGGGTCTGTGCTGTCCCCTGATGTCCGAGGGACACAGATGCCCGGCCTGCCATTCATACTCCACCTAGGCCAGGCCAGCGCCCCCTCTCAGCCCAGCTTCCGGTGGCCTCTCCTGGGGAGAAAACATTGAACATGACGCACCGGAGTCCACGCGGACCGTGTGATCAACATGCAGCACGGCGGTTTCTTTCACATCTCTTACATACTATTGACTTGCAGCTGGTTACGTGATTGCCATGGTGACATTGCAGCCAAGGCCCTGACCCATTTCAGCCACTGACTGATTCATACAAGTGAAAATCCACCAGGAGGGACCTTTCCCAGGAGTCTGCTCCTGCTCCAGTCCAGGCGTGTGCGTCCGAGGCCAGCCTGGTCACCGCTGTGCTCAGGCCGTGGGGTCAGAGCGAGGTTCTGGAGAGCTGGGACTCGAGCTCTGGGGGAAGGAAGTGTCCTCAGGTCCGACTCGCCACCTCTGAGTCCGGGTGAAAAGTCTGGCACGAACTTGTGCGCTCGGAGAGGAAAAGGGGCAGCGGGTTGCTCTGGCAGGCGTGGATGGAGACCGCAGGCTTTGTTCCTTGCCGTTGGACGGATCCCTTCCCAGCTCGGTCATGGCTGCTTGCTGGGACCACTGGGTCTCCCGACCGGCCCACATGTGCCCCACACGGCTGGGAGAGTCCTGACTGGGTGAAGGCAGCCTGGGACGGCCCGTGGCATCTGCTGGGGGTCAGCCAGGCACTTGACGGCATCTGGAGACAAGTCTCGGGCTGGATTCTGGATCCCCAGCGCTCTTGACCGCCCCTGACTGCTGGCACAGGCCAGGAGCCAGGCGCTCTCCCCACCCACCGGGCCACTCTTGCATGGAAGTGGAAAGTCCGCCGATGAGCAAGCCCACGTGGTTTCCTCACAGCGCCTCCGTAGAACGGGGGCTCCTGGGACTTAGAAGAGCTGCTTTGGTAACACTCCAAAAAATGTGAAATTTTTCCTTAATGAACGAGATCCACAGCCCGAGTCGGTGCTGACAGCGAGGCAGACAGCATCGAGCAGGGTGGGGAGGAGGCTCTGCAAACATCCCTGAGTGCCTGGGCCATGCAGGGGAGAGGAGGGCCATCTCTGTCTTCAGGGGGGCCCAGGGGCCTGCACGTGGCTTCCTTCCAGTTCTCCCTGAGCTGTATGAAGGGACTTCACAGAGTTCGTGGGGAAAAAAATGGAATTACATGGAATTGAAGTAAGAGGGAGGGTCGTCCAGTCTCCGACCCAGTGAGGGCTCCTCCCCCACCCCTCCGTGGAGCACTGCTGACAGGGCCTGGTGGCCAGGTGAAAGGGGAGACTCCTCCAGGCCTGCTGTCAGGTCAGGGACAAGTACCTCTGAGCGCCTGTCACAGCGCGCATTAGGAACACCACACCCAGGGTGACCATAGGCGTCAGACTCACCTGGAGCGTCTAGGACGGGAAGCCCAGGCTTTCATCAGATCCACATCCCGATGCTCATCCTGAGAGCAGGAAGCAGTGCCGCTGGTGTTCCGCTCTGCCACCCGGAAGCTGTGTTTGCTGGTTCCTGGGGCTTGGCTCAAGTGAAAGCAAAGCAGGCTACCCCTCGTCCTTCATTCTCCTGGGATTTGGGGCATGCGTGCACATGTGCTGGGCGTGATTTTCAAGACACCAGGTCCTGGACTCAAAATGCAGTCAACCGTGTGGGAGTCCAGCGCCTTAACCTCATGCCACCTGCTGGCCCGAGTCAGGCTGTCTTACAACTCTGGATATAAGTTTCAGGGTTCCTGCGAGGGACGTGTCCAGTGACAGGAGTCCCTGCACTCAGAGCAGCCTGCAGCGTGGCAAGTCCCTTGGGTATAAACGAGTTCCTTCCAGTGTAGACACCACTTACCAATCAGGAGTCAGTCTTGTGACAAGCGAAGTTGCCTGGTAAACTCGTTTACAGAACACCACCTTTCTCAGATTTCCAAGAGAACAGAGCTAGAAAGTGAACTAAAGGTCGAATTCTCCTGGGAAGAGGGAAGAGCCCGTGAACTGTGCAGATGACAGGCCGTCTTAGCATCGGGGTAACGTGGGCAAATCTGCGTACCTTTAGATCTCGGAGTGGCCTGGCCTACCCTTCGTCTCATGAGTGGAGACACTGAGCCCAGAAAGGGAAAGCGGCTTGTTCAAGGTGCACAAGAACTATTGAGAGCTGTGGCCTTGGACCGCAGCTCCTGCTCCCACACCGGGGGCTTCTCTGCTCCCCAGGGCCTGGCTTTTGACACCAGTCCAAGGAGGTGGGGCTGTGAAGGTGCATGAGGGCCCCCTGTGGTCTGTGGCCCTCCTTGCTTGGTGGTGCTGGGGGACGGGAGTGGTGACATCTCTTTGTCCTTGGCAGTGGCAGCTGAGTGTCCTGACCAGAACCCTGAGCTGCAGCCCTGGAGCCCAGGCCATGACCGGGACCACCGTGCGTACATCGGCCGGGGCAGGATGCTGCTACTCACCTCTTCCACCACCGTCCACTCCATCCACATCTCAGAGGGAGGTAAGCCCACCTCTCCCCACCACCCGGAGCCCTGCAGGTGGGGTGCAGGTGGCCACGACCTTAGGTGGATATGCATTGGGTTCGTGTCAGATCATCCGGGGGTTTGAGAGATCCTTGAGCTCAGAGTACTTGGGGGTGGCTGATCAGAGGTCCAGGCTTGCAGGAAGGAGCGCCGATAGAGGAAATGGCTGACTAGAGCCAGCAGCCCTGCTTGGTCATTGACTGCCGACCGTGCAATGAGGCAAGGCAGAGAGGAGGCCGCGTGATGGCTTGTGCGCACCGCAAGCACACACGTGTTTGGAAGACGGCCCTTTTTGCCTGCTTGGATGAGATGGGTGGTGTAGAGAGCCTGCTGTTGGCTGTACCATAACCACCCCCTAAAACCTCTGTTCTCAAACCTCGTCCTGCTCCTCTTCAGGCAAGCTGGTCATTAAAGACCACGCTGAGCCGATCGTTGTGCGAACCCGGCACATCCTGATTGACGACGGCGGGGAGCTGCATGTCGGGAGCACCCGCTGCCCTTTCCAGGGCAACTTCAGCATCATTTTGTACGGAAGGTGCGTGGACCTCGCCCGTGGACAGGTGCACTCTGACTGGGGGGAAGGCAGGGCGTGGCTTCCCCAAGGAGAGAGAGAGGCTCTAGGGAAGACATGAGCCCGAGGCAGGATTGTCATCTGCCCTGCCAGACCACTATCGCGGACAGACGGGTGACTTGGGTGAACTGGAGATGTCCACGGGGCGTTTAATTACTGAATTATCATTTCCTGGGTGTCATACATGGATTACAGACGTCCCTCCCTGCAGCCTTTGGGGTGCCTTCTAGTCGCATCATGGTCTGCGGGAGCTCCCTGAGTGTTTATGTGATAGCTTACGATGGACCAGACAGAGAAACACCACACGGCATTTGCCTCTGGCTGCATTCCTTCTGAAAGCAATTGAGAGTTTTAAGAAGTGCTAACCAGGGCCAGCAGGTGGCGTGGTGGTTAAGGCGCTGGACTCCCACATGGCTGACCATGGTTCGAGTCCTAGACCTGGTGGCTTGCTTTCTCACTTTCTCTGTCTCTCTCTATGGAAAAATGAAAAATAATAATAACGATAAATAAAATTAAATACTTTTGTTACAAAAAGTGCGAGCCAAAAATGCATGGGTGTGTAGTGCGTGTCTAGGTGAGTCTTCATTTGCTGTGGAGCAAAATACAACAGACTGCCGAGCACTGCCCATATGGGGTGCCGCCGTGGAAACACACGGCTCTCCCACTTGGCTTCTCGGCCTCGTCTGCTCCAGCTTAGGGAGACCAGTCGCTAATGCTGTTTGTACTGACCGCAGGCAATTTCTGAACGTGTGACTGGTTCCATGGTGGCCGCTGTGGGAGGGAGGAGGCAGGGATTTCAGGCCCCCTCGGGGTGTGGCATGGCTGTTTCCTCTTGCAGGGCTGACGAGGGCATTCAGCCGGACCCTTACTTTGGTCTGAAGTACATTGGAGTCGGCAGAGGGGGCACCCTTGAGTTGCATGGGCAGAAGAAGCTCTCATGGACATTTCTGAACAAGACCCTTCGCCCAGGTGGCATGGAGGAGGGAGGCTATTTTTTTGAAAGGAGCTGGGGTCACCGTGGAATCATCGTTCATGTCATCGACCCCAAATCAGGAGCGGTCGTGCATTCTGACCGGTAAGGCTTGCTTTCCCTTGAGCCAACATCATCCACTGAGTGTCCACTGCTGGAGCGTGTGCCCCAGCCGGGCTCTGGGAAACCCCTACCCCAAAGGAGTTAAATCCCCATGCAGGCGTTTGCCTGAGGAAGCTGAATTTAGTAGAACAAGCGCACACTTAGTGTTCATGGTCCAGATCATGACATGGGGAATAAAGATGGTGCCATGGTGAAGAGTAAGCAGGCAGACCCCTCTGGGGATGGGGTCAGGGAGAGCCAGCACACGGAAGCCACAGCTGAGCTGAGGACCCCAGGGCAAGGACGCATCAGGGAACGAGTGTTCGAGACACAGAGCAGCATGTGCAAAGGGCCAGAGGTGAGGAGGATGTGGCATTCTCAAGAAATAGAAAGACTACCAGAGAGGAGGGGACCGCGAGGAACGATAAAACAGCAGCATGTAAAGCCAGCCCCATGGCCTAGTGGTTAAGGGAGCCGGATCCTACATGGTCGACTGGTTTGAATCCTAGCCCCAGTGGCTTGGGAAACATGCCGTGTGTGCCCCACGTCTGAGCAGGATGGAAAATGGAGGGGAAGGGATTGTGGTATGACCCAGTCGGGTGCTTTCTTCGCCTCTGTGTCTCTGTCTCTCTCTGGCAAGCGCATCCAGCCTCTGACAATTGAGGGAAGAGAAAAGAAGGGGGCTGACCTCATGGCTTGGTGGTTAAGGGAGCTGAGTCCCACATGTTTGATAGCATGGTTCAAATCCCAGCCCTGGGAGCCTGAAAAACACAACCTAATGGAGAAATGCAGGCGAGGGGAAGGTGGTGTGATCGCATCCCATTGGACGGTGCTTTCTCGCGCTCCCTCTCTCTCTCTGGCAAGAGCCTGTGCCCTCTGGCAAATTAAACCAAAAGGCCAGTAAGTAAGGGCTCTTTTTCCTTTTTTTTTCTTTTTTCCCAAACATCCCAGCCCTTGAGATTTTTGGATGGCATTTTAGATTTTGCAACAGAGCTGTGTGCTTGATCTGCTCTCGAGACTGAAACCGCTCTCTCTGCCCTTTTCAGGTTTGACACTTACAGATCCAAGAGAGAGAGCGAACGCCTGGTGCAGTACCTGAGCGCGGTGCCCGACGGCAGGATCCTCTCCGTGGCGGTGAATGACGAAGGCTCTCAAAACCTGGATGACACGGCCCGGAAGGCGATGACCAGGCTGGGCAGCAAGCACTTCCTCCACCTCGGATTTAGGTACCACCCCTTACTCCCCCCCCGCCCCCCCCCCCCACACCTCCACCCGCAACCCCACGATGACACGGCCCGGAAGGCGATGACCAGGCTGGGCAGCAAGCACTTCCTCCACCTCGGATTTAGGTACCACCCCTTACTCCCCCCCTGCCCCCCCCCTCGCAGCCCTGCCGACCCGGACTTGACCTCTCCCTTGTCCTTCCTCTGTGGCCACACCACCTAAATGACTGCCTACAGTGATGCAGGCATTGGTGCAGCTGTGTTGGACATATGGGGGCTCATTCTTAGGGGGGCCTGGTGTTTCTTGAACGCGTAGCCCACCTCTGAAACAGAACAGCTCTCTGTTCATAGAGACCCGTTCGTTCGGCCAACCACCTCCGGAGTATTAACCGAGCCTCTGTTGCGTGTAAGAGCCATGTCTCCGGTGGGCAGCTGATGTGCACTTTCACTTTCTTTGGCAAAGGGGTCCCATCATGCCTTTGGGGATCGGCAGACAATTTTTAGAGATTGTATATAATGAGCCCGTGGCAAGGTGGCTAAGGTGCCCGGATTCCACATGGCCAACTGTGCGGTTCCAGTCCGGGACCTGGTGGCTTGGCAGACACACGAGACGCTTGCCCCAAATCCAAAACAAGGAGGGAGAGATGGAGAAGCGATTGTGGTATGCGCTTCTCCCCGGGGTGGGGGTGGGGGGTGCTTTCTCATCTTCCTTCTTTCTATTTCTTTCTCTCTGCTAAGTGCAGGCACGTACTCTCTGGCACATTTGTAAAAAGAGAGAGAGATTATGCCAAATCTCTCTAGACAGCCAAATGCCCAAGGAGAAGGGGCCCTGGGATATGTTCTGGTGTGTGCTTTGCATGCCTGGGGTGGTAGCCACCTGCCTCCCGTTGGGGTGGGTGTGTGCACACGCACGGGCTCTGGTCCCATAACCCCACTTCACTATTGTGCTGAATTGGAGCTAGGCTCAGCAGAAGCCGGGCTTACCTGTTCTTGGCTGTTGGGAGACCGCGATGCCCCTCCGTTCAGCTCCCTAGGTTGGGGACAAACTTGCAGGGGGAGGCCAGAAGTTTTTGTAGACTTGGAGCAAAGCAGTCCTCCTGGTTGGGCAGACGTTTCCTGGGCGAGGAAGGAGTGCTGCAGGTTGCAGGTGCATTCTCCCGCCGCCCAGGGGCTGCCCCTTCTGGAAGGGAAACTCAGGCAGGACACCCGAGTAGCCAGAGGTGACAGACGTTGGCTCTCAGAAGTGCTCGGTGTGCTTTCCCCTCGTCGGTTAATTCCATGGGAGCGAGAGCTGGAACCGCGTGGGGCTGGTGACTGAGGGCCCGAGCAGGAGGAGGCAGTGGCTAAGGGCGCGAGACCTGGTCTCTGATGGCCTGAACTGAGTCCTGAGCTGCACCTTCTGTGAGCGGTGTTGCTGGCACGTGACTCGTCCTCTCTGCCCTCTCCCTGCACCTGCAAAGCGGGGTTTTGCAGGAGCCCTCTCTGAGGACCGTGTGCAGATGAGCGTGGTCATCTGGGGAAAATATTTCTCATCATGCCTGACAGAATGAGCACGCAACAGATGTCAGCTCTTCCCTCCTCGTTGCGAGAGCCACAGGGGCTGGGCATGCAACGCGTTTTGTGTTGCCGCTCACACGGAAGGCAGGAGTGACACCTTTACTCCTCATCCGTGTGGAGACACTCGGAATAATAAGCTTAAAGCATCAAATTCAGAGATGAGACGTGGACCTTGCATTTGTTCTTTACTCGGGAAATCGCTACTGGACACGGCTGGGCGGGAGGCACTAGGCTGGACGGGGCGTCCTGAGCCCCCTGAAAGGTGGACGTAGGGGGAATCGATGGTGGGCGTGATATGGTGAGGGAACGGCAGGTGGAGCTGAGCGCAGGCGAAGCTGCAGGTTTGCCACAGAGCGGCTCGCAGGTGCCGAGGCCCAGGGGCGAAATTGTGGCTGCCCGGGAGAAATGGGTTGAGGCGACAGCGCTAAATGTGAGAGGGTGAGTGGTGACAGGTGAGGCTGGGAGGGAGGCACAGGACAGCTTTTTATGCACCAAGGAGCTCTATCCGGAGGGGAGTAGGGAGCCACTGAAGGAGTCGAAACAAAGGAGTGATACAGTCAAATACCCGACCTCGAGATCAGTAGATGGCATAATGGTTACATTACTGGACTCCCACGTAGTCGACCACAGTTCGAGTCTTGGATCCGGAAACTTAAAACGCACACCAGGCATGTGTGTGTGCACACCCAAAATCCCAAGGGGAGAATAGAAGAGAAAGGATTGTGGTGTGGCCGTCCCCCCGGGGGTGTGATTTCTCACTTTCTGTCTCTCTGTCTCTCTAGTGAGCACATGCTCCCTACAGCAAAAAGAAAATCTCAAAAAAAAAAATAAATAAATAAATAAAGGGCCAGCAGGTGGCGTGGTGGTTAAGGGCATTGGGCTCCTACATGGCTGACCACGGTTCAAGTCTCAGACCTGGTGGCTTCCTTTCTTACTTTCCATTTCTCTCTGTCTCTCTCACTCACGTTCACTGCGCAGGGGCGAAATTGTGGCTGCCCGGGAGAAATGGGTTGAGGCGACAGCGCTAAATGTGAGAGGGTGAGTGGTGACAGGTGAGGCTGGGAGGGAGGCACAGGACAGCTTTTTATGCACCAAGGAGCTCTATCCGGAGGGGAGTAGGGAGCCACTGAAGGAGTCGAAACAAAGGAGTGATACAGTCAAATACCCGACCTCGAGATCAGTAGATGGCATAATGGTTACATTACTGGACTCCCACGTAGTCGACCACAGTTCGAGTCTTGGATCCGGAAACTTAAAACGCACACCAGGCATGTGTGTGTGCACACCCAAAATCCCAAGGGGAGAATAGAAGAGAAAGGATTGTGGTGTGGCCGTCCCCCCGGGGGTGTGATTTCTCACTTTCTGTCTCTCTGTCTCTCTAGTGAGCACATGCTCCCTACAGCAAAAAGAAAATCTCAAAAAAAAAAATAAATAAATAAATAAAGGGCCAGCAGGTGGCGTGGTGGTTAAGGGCATTGGGCTCCTACATGGCTGACCACGGTTCAAGTCTCAGACCTGGTGGCTTCCTTTCTTACTTTCCATTTCTCTCTGTCTCTCTCACTCACGTTCACTCTGTCCTCTCTAGTTAAATTAAAATAAATAAATAAAGTTAAATAAAATAAAAACGCTAATACTCAACCTCAGAAAATGCCAGTGAACAATGACTGACTTTCTAAGGCAAAAGAGCAAAACAAAAATAACGTGAGTGTCTGGGTGCCCGAATCTATTGCTATCTCGTGGTAAGAGAGAGGCTACTGTGGGGAGGAAAAGTATCTTTCCTGCCCCGGTGACGAGGCTGATGGACGAGGGAAACGCCTGCACACTTATTTCACGTAGTAAGTTTTACAGACCAGTCCTGTAGCCCAAGGGTTAAAGGCACCAGATCCCATGTGGCTGGCCGTGGTTTAAATTCCGGTCCTTGAGGCTTGACAAACATGCGTGTGCATACCCCAAATCTTGGAGCAATGGAGGAGAAGGATTATAGCGTGACCACACCCCACTGAGGGGTGCTTTCTTCCTCTCCCCCTTCCCAGCAAGCACAAGTGCCCTCTGACAATGAAAAATGAATGAATGGAGACCAGCAGTTAGCATAATGGCTATGTCGCTGGACTCCTGCGTAGTCAACTGTGGTTCGAGTCCCGGACCCGGTGGCTTAAACTCACGTCGGGCATGTGTGCGTGCGTGCCCAAGATCCCGAGAGGAGAATGGAGGAGAAGGGATTACGGCGTGGCCATCCCCCCTGGGGGGTGATTTCTTGCTTTCTGTCTGTTTCTCTCTGTCTGTCTGGTGAGCGCACGCGCCCTATAGCAAAAACCTCTCCAAAAAAAAAAAAAAAAAGAATGAATGAATGAAAGAAAAGGAACTTTAGTAAAGAAATGAAGACGGAAAGAACCAGTTGCCCCTGAGTGCTGTTTTTATACTGTTTGACGTGCCCCCGGCACAGACTCAGGGCCATAAAGAACTTCGTTTTGTGCTGTGTTTTTCAGACACCCTTGGAGTTTCCTGACGGTGAAAGGAAATCCCTCTGCGTCCGTGGAAGACCATATTGAATATCACGGTAATGGATAGCCAGAGGCCTTGTCTTCTCAGTGTGTCTGACTTGGGGGCTCAGGGCCTTTCAGGGTGACCCACATTCCTCGGAGCACCGCCAAGGGACCCGTCACGCAGCCAGCCTTGTTACGTGGACACGCCAGAGGTCAATACTGACCGAAGGGCGACCTCTCGTGGTCATATTTACATTTCCAAAGAAGTCTCTGTTGACCTAGTGTCACTGTCTTCATCCGCAGAAGTGGCGTGAGGACAAGAACAGGGCTAGGGCTGGGCAGGCCCTGCAGTGGCCGTGTGACTGCGCTCGTGTTGGAAAGGTCCCTGGAGTGTGTCTGGTACCTCCCTGAGCCCTCTGGCATGTGCACACGTGATCTGGGCCGGGTGAGATTGGAGGCGGGTCACAGCAGGACCAGTTGAGGTGCCCCTCTCTGTCTCTGTCTCATGAAAGAAAGAAAGTTTCAAAAAATAAAGGAACTGGAACAGAGTCCGCAGGGCTAATACTTTGAACTTAAAAACAATAAATACCTCAGGGACCAGCAGGTGGTTGGTGATTAAGGCACTAGACTCCCATGTGTTCAACTACAGTGGAGTCCTAGTCCCCGCAGCTCCAAGATCAGGCCAGGCATGTGTGCGTGCATGCTCCCCCGTCCCCCCCCCCCATTCCAAAAGAACAGAGGAGAAGGGATTGCGGTGTGGCCCTCGCTCCTAAGGGGGTGATTGCTTCCCCGCTCTGTCTCTCTGGCAAGCACATGTGTCCTGTGACAACAACAAGCCACAACGATAATGGAGTGCCTGTTTATACAGCGTGGCCGCCTCCTGCCCAGCGAAGGCTGTGGGGGCGCTGCTGGTTCTCCTAGGGAGGGATTCACATCAAGGGTGGAGTCACGAGGCTCTGAACTCTGGGTTGGTCGGAAGGCTGCAACTAACTGAACTTTCAAAACCGAAACACATTATCGGACAGTCATCCACTTCCCCGTGAAAGGAATGATCTCATTTTTTTTTTAAACTTAAAAAAATGAAATACAAAAAGGCTCAAGATCCATGGGTGTCTGGGGTTTTCTCCACCGCAGAATCACAGCCTTTTGAACTTAGGGATGTGTCCAGTCACTAAAGCATTGGATCTCCCCGACAGGACACCGAGGCTCCGCGGCTGCCCGAGTATCCAAGCTGTTCCACACGGAGCACGGCGAGCCCTTCAACGTCTCCTCCTCCAGCGAGTGGGTTCAAGGTGAGGCCTTGGAGACAATGTAGGGAAGGCCAGGAGTCACTGTCCCGGCAGAACGAGGTTCTCCTCTTAGCCCAGAGGGCCGCTTCCCTGCTGCAGAGTCAGCTGCAAATGCGCAACCCAAAGCTATCTGTAGTTAATCAAGCTGCATTGACGAATAGCCCAAGGGGTGTTTCCTCCAGGTTAAGATTTGACGCTGGTCCAGCAGGTCCTGCGAAGGTTAAGGTGCTGGATCCCACATGACCAACTTTGAGGTTCAAATCCTAGACACAGTACCTTTATAAACATGCTGGGCGCGTGTGCATGTGTGCCCAGAATCCTGAGAGGAGAATGGATTGTGGCGTGGCCTCCTTCTCTGGGGGTTGTTTTCTTTTCCCCCTTTCTTTCTTTTCTGACAAGCACATGTGCCCTATAGGAAAAGAAACTTTTTCAAAAAAAATGAATTTCACCTCTATAGGGGTCCATGGCATTTAGTTTAGTTCATGGAACCCTTTAAATGTGCCAGGCACTAGCAATGGACAGAAAACCCGGATGGACACAGCCCTGGCCTTCCAATGTCCCTACGTGCAGTTTGCAGAAGGCAGCAGTGTTAGCGGGAATCCTTGCATGGGGGATTAAGGAGGGCTTCGATTTCTCTCCTTTTTGTTGATTTGCTTTTGCAATAATTGGCCTCTGATTCAAAGGTAAAGAGTAGGCAGATTATTTATGAGCCACCTGGGCACCCTCTTGGACAACCATGGCCCCGTGATATTCAGTCTCCCTATGTCCAGGGTGCTTTGGGGCCCTGCCACTATTCACTCAAGGAAATGACTTCCTGTATCACCCTGCCCTTGCCTTTGTCCCTAGATGTGGAGTGGACAGAGTGGTTCGAGCACAGCAAAGTGTCACACACGAAAGGCGGGGAGAAGATTGCAGACCTCCGCGTAGCACACCCAGGAAAAATCTGCACCCGTCCCATCGACATACAGGTACCGAACCCACAGCGACCAGCCAGGCAGAAGGGCTCTGTGTCAAGGACAACGGCGTGAGTCGCAAACTTGTCACCCGGGTGGTCCGATTCTCGGTAGTGGGAAGCCAGAGTGAACCAGTGTAGCATTGCCATTGCAGAGTCTGAGGTGGAGGCTGGTTTTCCTAGAGTTCCTTCCTGTTCTTCTTCTTCTCTTTAATTTTTGTTTTATTTACTTTTTAAAATAATTATTTATTTAATTTTTATTTATTTAAATTTGATGATAGAGAAAGTAAGAAACCAAGCCACCAGGTCCAGGACTTGAACCCTGGTCAGCCATGTGGGAGTGTCCAGCACCCTAACCACCACGCCACCGGCTGGTCCCCTCGAGTTCCTCCTCCTTACCCTGCTTCTTCAGCTGTGGCTGAGAGTGCTCCAGTTCTCTTCCAGGAGGATTGCCTTTGGGATCTTGAGGACACAGGATCCAGCGAAGAGTTAGGGGTGCGGGCTGAGCTCAGCCCATGGGAGACACATCACAGCCTTGTTGTCCTCTGAGCAGGGTTAATAAAGGCAGGATGCTCAGAGTGCCAGCGCTAGCTCAGGGCTTTCTCGGGGCATTCGTTCTGTCCAAGGGGCCCTTGACTCGCTCAACTGGCCCCCCCAAGAAAGTGCTGAGTAAACACGCAGGCACCAGCTGCTGGCTGGTGAGACGAGGCACAGGCAAAGCAGTGGGGTTATTTACCTGTCATATACTAGGCCGGCCCCATAGCCTAATGGTTAAGAGAGCCAGATCCCTCATGGCCAAATGGGGTTCGAATCCCAGGTCCAGTGACTTGCAAAACACAGTGAGCACACACACGCATGCATGCCCCACATCTTAATGGGACAGAGAAATGGAGGAGAATGGATCGCGGTGTAACCACACCCCCGGAGGGCGTGCTTTCTACCTCTCTGTCTCTGGCCAGTGCATACACCCTCTGGCAATTAAAAAAAAAAACCGCTTGATAAAGAATTGTAAGTCATTTCTGAAAGACCAGCCATGCCCTTTTCCTTCTGTTTCAGCCAATAAAAATTTTGCACCACACCCAGATCAACTCAGCATGGGGCCCCAGTCACCTGGCTGTGCTTTGACCACATCACACTGTCCAGGGCAGAACTTCTGTCCCCCGACTTTGCATTGTGGGAGGGAGCACTTTTCCGACTTTGCACAGGCCAAGGAAACCTTTCTCATGTCTGAAGGTGGCTCTTGTTTCACATGGCTCCAATGTGATTGAGCAGGGTTTACCCAGCTCAAGCTGCAAGCTGCAGGCTCTTCTTGGGTCCAACGGGGTCAAAAAGCAGTGACTCCCCCAACGCACACCCTTCTTAGATTAAGTTTTAATTTTCTCTTGCAAGCCTGAATGCCCTGGCTTTAATTCAGAAATAGTCATCTTCTTATCCCTCCAGTTCTCTGGACCACAGGAAGTCTAGGCCTTTACCAGCCTCCCCTCTGCAGATATTTCTGGAGATCCTCAAGGAATGCTCTCTCGCTCACAAATCCCTGCAGGCGTTTGTGTGCCAGCTGTCTGGCTCCAGACCACTCTCGGCTAGGAGACCACTGCGCCATGCCAGGAA